AATTAGATCTGCAATTGGATACCACAGGACAGATCCTGCAAGACCTGGATAGAAATCAAAATGATTCCTATCACGGCAGGATTTGAAGTGACCAAGTTAAAACAGTAAAGTTTGAAGAGTTACCTTTCTTGTCTGCATCTTCTCAGTTCTCCTCCGGAAGGCAACGTAAGGGTCATTGTTGGTGGAACCATCCCTCTTCTCTTGTTTGATTTGGGGGATAAGAGATGGCCCTCGGCAATTCTTACGCTTTCTTACCCAGTAGTCATATACAGCCTTAATAAGGTAGTCATCCTCATTTAGCAGCAATTTAGCTTCCTGAAGTGTTACAAGCTAAAAAAAAATTCAAAAGGTGCAATTGAGATGGGATGGGGAGCAGTGCAGGGAGAAAGTCACTGCACACTCACCTCTTTTACACACTTTATGAATAAACTTAATCATTTTCTAGTACACAACAGTAAAGGGAGGAAAAAATATGTAAATTGAAGTACTTAAAGCACTAGCTCATCTTCCTAGGTTAAACATACAGTTCCCAACTTTTCTGAACCACCATCATCTCAGAAGCTTTCATACCATAGCCTAGAACTCCATTTTTTCATTAAATCAAACAATTACAAGCACAGGATATAAATAACTTACTACAACCTGCTGATCATGATTTGGGAATCACTTTGACTATTTTTTTCCCTAAAAAGAAGTTTCTTATTGATTAGCCATTAGAGATGCAGGATTCTTTGCAGTTTAATGTTGGTTCCCCCAGAACTGTAGATGTAATATATTCTGAAGTAAACTATTTTCTTAATTTCCCCCCTCCCACCCCTCTAAATGTTTACTTTGTGGTAGAAAAGGTTTATCCCTGTTTACTACAACCCAGAAACAAAGATAATCACTTCTTAGGAAAGTCATTTCAGTGGGAGGCAGTTAAACACAGGGAATTTTATAACTTTATTTTCCTTTTTGCGTTCTACTTTCTATATGGAAATCAAACTGAATAATTACAAAACCCGTCACTGACTAACTAATACATTAGTTTAACATGCTTATGTATCATAAACCCATTAAGTAAAAAGAAAGCAGTATCTCTAGTATGACTTCAAGTGCTGTCAACTTCTGGTTTATCTTCCCATAATTTGAAACATATAAACTGAGCAACTGAAGTTTGCAGTTTTGCAGTATGTTGAACTACATTAAATCTTGTCCCTATGCTAGGATAAACAGCAAAAGAAACAATAAATTTCAGAAAAATCAGAATATCCTAGAGTGTACCCACTGCTACTGTGTAAGTGCTCATTCCAGCCAGAAGAGAACACACTTGTAATCTACAGTACAATTAGAAAAAACATTGGTTTTAGAAGAAAGGGGAAAAAAAGTCACCAATCCCTCTGTGCTTATGACCTTATGCAGCATTAAAACAATTTTGCACCCGTTCTACCTAGAATGGATATTAGCCTAGTTAACCAAACACATGTACTGACCAGCATACCCTAATCTGTATGTACAAGTTGGTATGACTGTGTTTAGCTAAATACAACTTAAACATCAATCTATCACTATTAATATTACTTAATTATTTGAGTCTTGTTTGTCCTTTGTTCCCTTTTTTACATTATTTCTTTAAAAAAGAAATTAAAAAAACAAACAAAAAAACCCCAAACACCAAAAAACCCCACCAACAAACCACCCCAAATTGACTCTGCCTTAAATACAAGTTAAAGTGACCCTGCTTGCTTGTTTTTGCAAGTACCACCAGTAACACAGATGCAGTCACTATATTCTTTGCTTAAATCTGGTTATCAAAATGCCTGAGGAATGTCTGGAACCTTCCCCTTGGCAAGGAAAGCATTCCCACCACCATACTACTATATTTCGGATGTAAGTCATGTCAGCTGTAAATGAATTCTGTAGTAGCCCCAAGTGGGATTCAAGGCACTATAAAGGCCATGTGGGGAAGGAAGCTGCCAGACAGCTGAACTTCTTTCCCTCCCAGCCTCCAATAACCTGCAAGAGTTGTTTTTTTTTATCTTACTATTCCTAGCACAGAGCTCAGGACAGAGCTACTTTACTGAAAATTTTCTGTAGCCCAAAAGCATGACAATCATCTTGAACACATATACAGCAATCCCCTACATTGGTCTGAAAATACTACACAGGAAGTCCCAAAGACATTTAGTTTACCAAGAGGGATTTCTCCTTACACACTTCACCCTCAGGGAAAGTGGGGGGGGGGGGGGTAGTATAAGCATCAATTACTGTATGTATTTTCCATCATGGACTTCCTTAAATAAGTACTTCCTGGTTCAAAATTCCCTTCACCTCGGTAATGCTTCAGTGTTACATTCAGGTGATAGAGACAGAGGCACCTGCCTATAGACAGGCATCCATATTCGTATTTTATTTTAGGAAAACATCTTTCAGTTCTTAAATTTGACTTCATTACTAAAGGAATGAAAGGTGAAGCCAGCATAAGAAGAATGCAAATTGATCTTGAAAAGCAATAACCAGAACCACTCTAACTGAAAGTCAAAACGGGTGTATCTACATCAAAGCTCTAAAAAGAGCTGGGTACCACATGTTCAATAAGTATCATCATCCAAGGTACTGTGCAATGTTTTTTCTCCACATCACATCTTATTAGCATAACAAGAACTCTTTACCTAATTGTTGCTGAAGTTGCTCCAAAGCATAAATAGTACAACATTTTGGCCTCTTAACACATAGCGTTCAACTAAATGAGGCAAAGCTATGGATCCTGCAATGAATTTTTCACTCCCACAAAACATCCATCTCACTGACAAATAACTCTGCCTATTTCAAACTTGCCTTTCAGAAACTGATCCTTCAGATGTCATTTCTGAGTTATGTTTTTTGGGTTTAAGACCCTTCTCCAGACACTGACGTCCTTCAACACCTCAGGAATGGACTTAAAATACTGGTACCCTTTTGATAAAAAGCCTGACTAAATATATAGCAAATACTCACTTCTAAAGCAAGGAAACCAGTCTCTGAGTCTCAAGTGGAATATAGCTTAGTTTCATCTGTGTAGTTTCTACTACAAGGGCCTGGTCTTAATAAAGATGTTGCTTCACTGTCTATGCTTCTATATTTCTAACCTTCAAACATCAATTGAAGTCAATGTCTGCTAGTACCAAGTGAAACAAAGAATTCAGATTCTAGCCAAATCTATACACCTACTGATCACAAACTTCTTCCATACAAATGCAGGTAAACATGATGCTGGAAGTTGTCCTCTTTAACACACTGTGATCAGGAATTAGTTCCCCTTCAGTTATTCCCAAAAGCTCCCTCCCTGCCCGTTTTTAATAAGTTGCTTATACTGACAATAGGAGACAGCAATGTGATTTCTGTAAAATTGCAGACTGGCACAAACCACTTATCCTGTTAGCAGGAAATAAAAACAAACTGAAAAAAAAAACAAAAACAAAAACAAACAGAACACCCTACCCAGAACCACCCCATTAGAAAATTCAGAAGTCAAGAAAACCTCAGTGATTTCTTAACACAGGACAATACCTGACTAGAACTGGCTTTTTCGAGTCTGTCAACCATTATTTCAAACTGCAGCGGCTTGATTTCCATCTTCCGATTTAGTCTGTTCAGTAAGGTTTCATCCTCCGAGTCCATATCATAATCTGGCTGCTCATTGTCCAGATTAAAAGCTGAAACAAAAATACACATGCACAAACCACACTGAAATGCTTTGTAAATAACAATACTGTGGAAATACAGAAGCGTGCATCTGACTATCAGAAATCAAAAACTATCGATAAAATTTCAGAAAGGCACATTAATGCCATGCCACTTCTTTCTTTATAATGATGTTTCCCCATGTAACAGCTGCAAGACAGTACTTAGAAGCTGCTTGTCTCTGACTTTGAATGAGAGCAATCAAAGAGGTTTCATTTCATTTTAAGTGGCTTGAAGGGTGACAGGGAAAAAATTACTACAGAGGCATAGAAACTTGAATACATCTTTGCAAAACAAGAGCAAAACTGCTTCCTAATACTGTTATAAAACATCTCCTTCCAAATATCATAAGACTCTTAACAATTAAGATTAATTTTCATTTAAATCTCAGACTTGGGAGAAAAAGCACATACACAGCAGTGCCAATATAATTTCAGCTGCCCAGTTTAAAGTAGTTCAACAAGCGTGGAGTCTTGTAACACTTAACACAACTGAACTTTTTTCCCTTTTTTTTTCCCCTTCATATAACTGTACAACAAATTGTAAAAATGCTAGACCAGTCTGGGAACTGTTACTTTCTCTCCAAAACCAACTTAACTCTAGGTGTAGAGACTGAATATTCCTCCATACACTCCAAATAGTAAGTTCCTGAGTTCACAGCAAAGCTAGTGTCTTTGTTACAGACTGTGCTACTCATTTTCCATACTCAATTCCATACTTTCCATAGGCAAAGTTTATGACCCTACTAAAAGCAGAATGAAGTTATTCAGGTAACATAGCAGAAATTAAATTGCATACAACAAGAATTAGTAATAGGACAAGGGGGAATGGCTTTAAACTAACAGAGGGGAGATATAGATCAGATATTAGGAAGTTCTTCACTGTGAGGGTGGTGAGGCACTGGCACAGGTTGCCCAGAGAAGCTGTAGCTGTCCCATCCCTGGAAATGTTCAAGGCCAGGATGGATGGGGCTTTGATCAATCTGGTCTAGTGGAATGTGTCCCTGCCCATTGCAGTGGTGGGTTGGGACTGGATAGTCTTTAAGGCTCCTTTCAACCCAAACCATTCTGTGATTCTGATTCTATGAAATGCTAATTGTACCTAATAAAACCTTGAAGCGGTGAAACACCAACTACAATACTCAATTCAATCAAGCTAGTGTATTAACAGCACTGAAGTCTTGTTGAAATATACTATATTCTTACTAGACAAATAGCACTACCTCATCTTTACTCTCTTAACTCATGGCTGTATCTGAGCACTAACTTAAAGAAAACCTCTGCTACTATGCTTCCCAGGGTGCTTTGAGAGGAGTGCAAAAGAAAAACTTGGAAGACCAGGAAAAACCAGGAGCAAAAGAAAACATCAGGTATCTTCAAAGCCTCCATGGTTTGACCAGTTAACAAACAGGCAGTGAGCAACATATTCTTGCTGTATTTCAGACTAGCCTAAGACCACTCATTCTATATTCCAATGCAATGAATTAGCTAAGCCACTGCCAGCATTTAGTCTATTTGGGCTGTGTGTGGTAACTTGGCCAAATACAGCTGAGAAGTGCTACTAAGGAGTTTCTTACCATTTTCAGCTGCGAAATGCTACTTCTCCAAGGAGACACTACTTGACTGTACTAACACCACGAATGCTGACACCACCACCTGGTCAGAAACCTTCTCTGGCCTAACACACACACGAGTAAATACATACTATAAAAAGTTATTTCAAGAACAAATTACTAATAATGGCTGAGAATATGTATTAAGTGGAATTATTAATAATACTAATTCAGTAATACCAGTTGCATGGCCATTTTATTTAATACACTGTCATTAGGCACATGACCCGCAGTTCTCCCTTTAGCAGCTGTCTACTGAACTTTTAAAAAATTCATAGTTCTGTAAAGCTGCATTAAAAGCATCACCAGCCAGGACTACACACTTGAGAGGAAAGGCTCGTGCAGCACCTGGGGTAGCTGCCATACAGTCCTGTTCAACATGCAGAACAGACGGTGACCAGCCAAAACCAACTGGTATGTATCAGTCCTGGCCTCTATGAAACCAGTCTGCTACACAGAATATTCAATTCCTATAAGCTTTGCTCCAACTTGTCCTGCATGGTCCCAGCCGGATCACCTGAGAGCACACAGCATTGCACTCCATCAGCCATATACGGAAATGGGGTGAATTCTCCCACCTGAGCTGTAACCCTCACAGTCCTTAACTTCATTAATGCAAATTGCAAAAGCTTCTCACACCCCAAAAGCAGCCCCAGAGCCAACAACACTACTACAGTCCTAATGTACACTGTGAAATCACATTCAAACAAATCCGCTCAAGGTAGGTGGCCAAAATTTTCTAACCCAGATGTTCCAATTATTCTGGGAACAAAGCAGGTCTCCCCACTCGAACAACCACGTGCTTAACCATGTTTTCACATATGACATTAGAATGCACAGAAATTCATTAAAGTCCAGCACAGCTTTTTTACCCTCAGAGAGGTGTTGCTCTTACACCACAAAAATGTCAACCTGTCAGTAGATAATTCAGTAATCCCCTGCAAACAAAGCGTTTCAAGTCAATTTTTCTAAATCAGAGTTATGAGTGAGCAGCAGGATCCCTATGACAGATGATGTGATGCTGTTCCCCTGCAAACTGTAAGCAGTGCCACTGTGCTGGCCTTTGTTTCCACAATGAGGGAAGAAGAGTCACTGAAAGTTCTTGAACCATGCAGCTTTCTGAACCACCTTTCAGAACAAAATCATTCATGCTCAAGCGAGATGAGACCAGCAGGAGACATGAAGCAAGAACAGAAAATCCTAACCATTCAATCAACAAGCAAGTGCAAAGACCAACCATGCTCAGAAACTCATTATGAATATTACTAATAAGAAAGCGAGATCTCCACCACAAACAGCGGAGGCAGATTACTGCACTGCTGATACCTCCAGCACTCCTATGGTGCAGGTCAGCTTGAAGTTGGAGTGTCCCTCCCTCTCACATCTTGCCGCTGGCCAGTTGAGCCATTTTGCAGAGTATGCAGTCAGCATCAGGAGCAGTTCATCTGCCCCTGTGAACCACTGGCTAAGTAACATGTCATGTCCACCTAACTTCATGCATAGTTTATTACTTGCAAATTTAAATTAGTTGCTGATAAAACATCAGCTTTTCTAGCAGTCATTTTGAGACTTCAGGAATAACAAATGAAGTGCTGAAAAACTGGGAAATTGACAAAACTGTAATAATAAAAAACCACCAAAAACAAAACCAGAAACTGCATCCTGAATTTCAACTCTGCAAAAGTGTTTTTCGTTTGTAGAGCAGGTTGCCCAGGAAAGTGGTGGAATCAACCATCCCTGGAGTGATTTAAAAGCCGTGCAGATATGGCACTTAAGGACAGTGTTTACTATCGGGAGTTGGTAGAGCTGGATTAACAGTTCGACTTGATCTTATAGGTCTTTTCCAACCTAAATGATTCTGTGATTTTATTTTGACAATCAAAATGACAAGATTAAAGGTATCCAACATGTACTTGCCGGGACCAAGTTATAACAATTAAATCCAGTCTTATTTTCCTAAGCAAAAAGACACTGGCACTGTGAGAACAGCAGCAGACTCTGTCACATACCCTGCTCTCATACCTTCCTGCAGTGCTTTTCTTTTGCTGGCAGCGGTTCTCATGCTATTTGTCATGACATGTAGGTAGCAACACAGTTCCACTTTCAAAGAACAGAGATTTACATGCAGGCCATAGGTTAATGCCACTGAAGCAATGGAAGCAATACCTGCATTCCACCTCCTGCTTTGGTGCAGGCAGGAAGGCCACAAAGCCTCAGCAGCCTACAGAGGTGTATGACCCTCAGTAAACACAAGACTATCCCTTTTCCTTTAAATGCTGCATGCAATCGTAAGGAGTTAATCAATCCCAAACTGGCTTGCTACAGCTCTAGGACATGCATGAAGCATCTTCCTTCCTTGAATGTCATCCATCACTGCTCTTTGAAACAGACTTTCATGTGACAACCCCAACCAGTTTTCTTCTTTTCCAAAGCACTGAGTGAACTGTACTGGTTTCAGAAAAAAAGCCATTTTTCATTCTGGAGCTGGCCAGTATTATGAAAGCTTGCTGGTTTCAAAAGCCATCACAAGACACAGGTGATTTATGTGCTGTGTGATGTAGCCATCCATCACTAACCTGTTTCTGCCCTTTCCATAGCAACAGATGCAACTGCTCATTCACACCTGCAAGAACTAGTGATGAACAAAACTCAGCCCTAGAAAGCACTGTATTTCAGATGATCTGCAACTCATTTGTGTATTAAGCAAAACCAGTCTGGGATCTTCTATACCCCTTTCTTCTGGTAATTTCTGAGAGATTCGTCTGGTTGACCAATGAATCTAGTTTTCTTACTCCAAAGCAGTTGCTTTTCTCCACACTGCTTGTTTTTACAGGGCTGGACAGGGATCCAGTGATCCTACCAGTGAAGCTTACCTTACATAAACAGTCAGAACTTGCTTTGCAACAGCAATTAGCAAGCCAACCAACATCCTAGTTTATTTATATCCTCTGCCACTAACCACTCCTGACAGCAGTGCCTGTCAGATATTTGCTTTTGTTTACTTGAGCTCCACTAGGAACTCAGTTTATACTAACTTTCAAAAAAAATGCAATTTGTTTTTAAGCTAAGTTATATTAAATTGTTTAACTTAACCAAATCAACAGATTTTATTTTGCCAACTAAGATTAGGGCTGTGGTTCCACAGTCATTTTACACTGACATAGGCGCAAGTTACCACTGAAACAAGCAGTTCCACTAGCTTCTGTCCCCAGCAAGCCATATTCCTACCACTTTGCTTGTACCAAAACCAGCCATTGCCCAACAAGCCAAGACAGAAAACTGATCAATATGGAGGTTCACCTAACCAAAAAATGAAAAATAAGCTTTCTTACACATAAGTTAGCTCACCCTCACTTCTCAGTGTTAGCTCACCCCTGAGCACAACTGCTACCAGAAAGGCACTGGCGGTAAGAAAGGAGTGGGCAGCAATGATGGCAGGTACATCTGTGCTGATAAAGAGCAAATGAAGAACTGCATCAGAGCAACAATATCCAAAGCAGTAAGAAAGCAGCAGAAATCACCTCCACAGCAAGCCTGCAGCACCTGACCAGAACAAAGCTTCCAACACTCACCCCCACCTGCATCAAAATACCTCAGCAGGGGAGGTGCCATGCAAATACCCACTTTACATATCCAGGCTCCAAACCCACAGCCAGAACAAATCCTGCCACAGCATCCTCTGAAATCATGGAACACGCAATGAATAAGAAATGGCCAACTCAATTATGTGAAATGCGCACACTTCACTTGTGGGGTTGGGTTTTTTTTTCTGGGTGGGGGGTGGTTAGTGGCTGTTTTGTTGTCGTTTTGTTTTGGGTTGGGGGTTTTTTTTCAAATTTAAAGAGCAACTAGAGTTCATTCCACACAGCTTAATGAAGATTATTTGACCAATACTTGAACAATCTGACCGCATTACTTATGATAAAAGCATTAGCTTTGTATCATAAATTTTATATACACACATAGGTAAAATATTTTATCGTGTGTATGTATATATATATTTTACTCCGTTCTGTTTCTGTAAGGGACGCTAATTTGCTTATATCCACTTAGCTATAATTCTAGCATAAGTACAAGTGTACTTAATTATTCTCCTTGCTGCATATTAATAACTTACAATTCATCTCCATGTTACTAACACTATAATTCTTTGAAAAATATTAAGCATTCTGGAATAATTAAAATCATTCAAGGCTTTTGTTTTATTTTCAGTTCAAAATCACCAGAGTTGGTGCTACTTGGGTCAACTAATACCTGGAACCATGTTCATTCATGAAATCTACACCTCAAAGAAATTACATTTTCTTAGCATGGAACCACTGGTCTAAATAAAAGAATTATAATGGTAAAATTAAAAATACTTAAACTCTTGGCTACCAGATGAACAGCAAGACATAACTTGCCAGAAATATCACTAGTAAAGTATAGATTACAGTATGTGGCCTCTTGACATCTACCAATTTACATAACTTCTGGGGCCAAAGCAAGTATTGTATGCTTTCAGCATTAAAACAGATTTTCTAAGCAGTTTATGTGGCATAAAAGCTGCCTTGTATCACACCTACTCCAACTAGAATATGTGGGAAAATTATCTTGAAACAGTATCTAATGTTTATCTTCAGCACAAATACCTTCTGTAATTCTGTGCAGAAAGACTGAGTCTCAACAAGACAAAGAACATTTTGGCATAATACATTTAACACTTTTAGACATGTTTATTAACAATATTTACAGTGTCTCTGGCAGTGTCCAACA